TTGCACAAGTCCAGGCAGATGACACTGGTTGCCCTTATCTTCCATATACTCACTGTGTATACACTAAGCCTAGTCCAAGATGTCAGTGGGTTTCTGTTTCAAGAAATTTTGCCCCATTGTACTCATCCAGCTGTGTGAGACAGGTGAGTGTGAAGGAGTGAGAGACATAAATAATGATGAAAGGGTCTTAAGTAGATCCTGTCCTCAGAACACGTAACTTAATTGTACCTCTGAAGAAAAGCACTGGGAGCATAAGCAGTAGCCATTTCAGTGCAGCTGAAGCTCTCTGAACTGCTGTGAGATACTTCTGCAGTCCTGGGGGCATGAAGTGCGTTGGGTTCTAGGTACAGCTCATGAAGGGCGTTTTCGCTTTGCTGTCTCCCCCCAAGCACGAGCACGTCACAAAGACGGCACCGTTTTTCCCACTGCAGTGCACGGTGGATTTTCTCATTGGCTGGAATGGCAAGCCTGCAGCGTGACCTGTGGCCGAGGAGTTCAGCAGCGCGTCCGTCAGTGCAACAGCCCTCTCCCAGCAAACGGGGGGAGGAGGTGCGAGGGGCCCGACACGGACACGCGCAGCTGCCACAACAAGCCCTGTCCAGGTATGGATTTAACGAACCGGGACTCTTAATGTGCCTTACGTCAAGTGCCCTAACAGTGAACCGTTACCACCACAGGCCTTCCTGGCAGGTTAATTCTTCTGAGAACCTGGAATTCATTTTGACTTTTGTGGGGAAGAAGAGGAAATTTCAATAAATACCACAAAAATATTTTTTCATTAAAACGGTGGGGTTTTCTGTTTCGTAGTGGATGGCAGCTGGTCTGAGTGGGGGCCATGGGAAGAGTGTTCGAAGAGCTGCGGGCACGGTAACAGGACCAGAACCAGGACCTGCAGTGACCCACCGGCTCAGCACGGCGGGAAGCCCTGTGCTGGCAGCGCTGTGGATTCAGTCATGTGCCATACTAGGCCTTGCCCAGGTAAGGGAACAGGGGTTTAAAATTAGTTGCACAAGGGGCTTCCCATACAGGTTTCTCTTTTTTTAGTCCTCCAAACCCAAGTTCTCTCAGCTTGTTTCAAATTATTAAATTTTAAAAGAATTAAGCTCCCAAATTTTTTTCGTTTAAAGTTGTTGATAATTTATTGCATGGCACTAATTCTTGGAAACAGAAATCACAGAAGTAAGTGCAAAAAATATTCTTAGTGATTGCTCTTCACCCCAACCCCCCAGTAAAAGTGTTCATTGTCTATTTTGATGTTTTCCAGTACTCATTACCCATGTTCTCACAAAATCACCCCTCTCAACCTATTCTGCAAAGCCAATTAAAATGAAAAAACCCCACAAACCACCAACTATCAAAAAGCCATGTAAAACATGATAGTTAAGAACGTAAGACACCATCTGTGTATTTTCCTCTGTTGTTTTAATTTTCAGCCACGTCTTTCTATTAACTAGATGAATGTTCAGGTCTTCCTGTCTTGGTAGTACCTCCTATGCTTGACACATCATACTTTATTCATAACCCTTCATTGCTGGCATGTTTCCTTCCACACGATTTTTATTATCCTGATCTTTCCCTTATTCCCTGGCTCTGCGGTTGCCAAGATGCCAAATGTTCATTCACCAGTCTGAGATTCCTTGGCAACACAGTCAGTTCTGGCTCCTGCTTACTAGTAGCCACCGAAGCTGTGTGCCAGCTTTTAGCGAGCGTGAGACCTTCAGCACGGGACACTCAGAGCCAGGTAACTTTGGAGAACACCGGATTGGATCAGGGGTTCAGTTCAGGTTGTAGTGAGGTGGTGTATTCAGGAAACAAGAAGGAAAGAATTCATCTCTCTGTTTGTAAAGTGCTGATCCACTTCAGCTGTTGATCAGACAGAGGTTTTCTCAAGGGTTTATTCGGGATATTTCATTTGCTGATATTGATAAATGCATAGCTCTTTTGCCTGAGGCTGTGGCGCTGTCATGTCAAGTTAAAGCAGCTGTGTAGGTTGAACAGTTGTACAGCTGTGCTGCCCTTGCAGTTGATGGCGAGTGGAGCTCTTGGCTGCCGTGGGGTCCTTGCAGCGAGACCTGCGGGAAGGGCACTCAGACACGACTGAGGCTCTGCAGTAACCCTCCTCCTTCGCACGACGGATCGTACTGTGAGGGGTCTGACGCACAGATCCAGGTTTGCAACAAGGGACACTGCCCAGGTGAGATGCGTCGGACACACAGAAAAATTACAAACTTCTTGTTTCCTCTCCAAATTCTTCTGAATTTATATGGAAAGCTTTCCAGTCTAAAAGTGTAGTCCCTGAAAACATCCCATTCAAGCCTTTTATTTTCACTGGCCCCTGTCACTATCTTTAGCAACCCTCTATAGATGAACATAAGGGGTTTCTTCTCCAGCGACGCTGAGTCCCCTCTCAAACTATCCACTGGTAGAAGAGAACTGACCTTGTGGCAGTCGAGCAGTTGGGCACTCGGTGTTGCATGTTTATCCGTCTCGATGTGCTGAGGATGCTGTTGCTTACAGCTTGTTTGTGATTAAAGAGCCTCTTCTTGGTCACCAACGCAAGCACCCAGATGGATGTACCCATAACAGGTTGTGTCACCACATCTGGGGAAATCAAAGGCCCTACTACTCAACTGCTTACACCTGACTCATGTGAGATAACCTAATAGTAACTCCTGTAAACAGCAGAGCCAGTAAGTCAGAGGTGGATTAGAAGGAGGGGGGAGAAGGTGGTGATGGATACATCCTCTGACAGCACAGCTGCAACCAGAGGACATGCAAATGGAGACTGGGTTTTGGGATGTCACTCGCTCCAGCCATCTGCCTCCGGTGGTAATTTCAGGGAGTATTTTGTATATGGGTCGACTTGCTCACAGATACCTAAAAATGTGAGAGTGACTGAGCTCAAGGACTGAGTGATCCCTGACCACGATTCTGGTCAGGCTTACGGGTTATTGGAAAGATAGGTCATGCCTTTCTCCAGCTTTCGCTCCTGGAAATCCCTATGTAGAAATCCCTGTGTATCTGAGGTGTTCTAGAAAGGAACATCCTACAGTCAGTTTTACCCTGGCGCAGCACCGATTTACTTGGCTGTTTCTGGTGTCAGCGACTGTAACGGTACCGTGCTGTGCCCTTCGTTGTGGCCATCTGCCTCTGGTGGTAATTTCAGGGAGTATTTTGTATATGGGTCGACTTGCTCACAGATACCTAAAAATGTGAGAGTGACTGAGCTCAAGGACTGAGTGATCCCTGACCACGATTCTGGTCAGGCTTACGGGTTATTGGAAAGATAGGTCATGCCTTTCTCCAGCTTTCGCTCCTGGAAATCCCTATGTAGAAATCCCTGTGTATCTGAGGTGGTAATTTCAGGGAGTATTTTGTATATGGGTCGACTTGCTCACAGATACCTAAAAATGTGAGAGTGACTGAGCTCAAGGACTGAGTGATCCCTGACCACGATTCTGGTCAGGCTTACGGGTTATTGGAAAGATAGGTCATGCCTTTCTCCAGCTTTCGCTCCTGGAAATCCCTATGTAGAAATCCCTGTGTATCTGAGGTGTTCTAGAAAGGAACATCCTACAGTCAGTTTTACCCTGGCGCAGCACCGATTTACTTGGCTGTTTCTGGTGTCAGCGACTGTAACGGTACCGTGCTGTGCCCTTCTCACCAGTGGACGGGAAGTGGGCCGCGTGGAGCAGCTGGAGTGCCTGCGCCGTGTCCTGCGGAGGAGGCAGCAGGCAGAGGACGCGCCGCTGCTCAGACCCAGCCCCGCAGTTTGGGGGTCACAAATGCGAAGGAAACGACATACAGATCGATTTTTGCAACAGCGATCCTTGTCCGAGTAAGTGCGCTGGGTTGGGCTGCCTGTGCACCACTTGGGTTTGTAGGCACGCGTGAGAGGAAGGAGCCCCCCGCAGCAGCGAGGGGGTCTGAGCGGGGGCACGGGCTGTTGGCTGCCTGGCAGGAGGGACAGCATCTCTTCACAGCCAGCGTGACTGGGGCGTTTTGAACATTGACTGTTCGGAGCAGGCGACCGTCGCAGCTGGTGCGTGAGCTCCTGCGGGACTGAGGGAGGTCACGCACCCCTGCAGCGACTGCTGTCCAGTCAGAATGTCCTGCAGCGGCTCTCCATCTCACAGTAGAGTGTAGGGACTCATTTGTTTAATAGTAGGTGCTGCACACTTCCTACCTTCTGGAGTTGGTTAACTTGCTCTGAGACACAGCTGAATGCTGGACAAGGGAACGTGCTTAGATCTTTTATTGTCTGGGCATTGATTTTTATTTGGGGAAAAGAAATTAGAAGGTTACTCTCTGATAGGAATATTCTCCCAGCATGAGAGTCCCAACAGACTCTCTGTTTTTAAGCGACTGTTTGTTATTAAGAGGAAGACAGATAAAATCTGACTGTTACGTTTACAGTCCATGGCAACTGGGGCCCGTGGAGCAGTTGGGGAAGCTGCAGTCGGACGTGCCATGGAGGCCAGATGAGGCGATACCGGACCTGTGACAATCCTCGCCCTGCCAGCGGAGGAAGGGCGTGTGCAGGGGCTGATGTGCAGATCCAGAGGTGCAGCACTGAACTGTGCCCCGGTGAGTGCTCAGAAACAAAACGCAGCTTTCCCTGGAAGGCCTCAGGGCGTACATCACATATGTGAGATTTTCTTCCTGTGAAAGGAATGTGGAACGTTCCCATAATGATGTGCAGTTTCGTACAACCTAACGATCCACTCTGGCTTTTTTTCTTTAAATGGCTGTCACCTTGCTATGATTTCCCTCTTCACATGTTAAATTTTCCCTGAATGGGGTGGAATAATTCAAAACAGGAGATCACTTATGAAGGTCTCTCCTACACCTAGTAATTCTACTTAGTTTTTACAGTAAATGCAGTTTCTGAGGCTCCCAGTGAGCTCTCATAATGTACTCCAGGAGCCGGGAAAAACGCTTTGCTCAAATGCTTTAAACAGAACGACAGTCAGAGCAGTTAATTGATTATTGACCATCCATCACTAAGGGGCAGTCAGTGAACTTTCACACTCAGGATCAGTATCAGCAGCAGAGCAGATAAACTGCGGTGCTAGAGACTTACTAAACACCTACAGATTTCTAAACACCCTTCTGTAACTCATCCCTGAAAGGGATTATTACTAAATTACTATTAATTCTGGTATAATAATAGAAGATTATTCTTACATCCCTCCTGTATGCATGCCCCTTTACACACCCTCCTGTGGGAGATGCAGGAGCCCAACTTTCTGTGTACCTGTGTCACTTCGACCCCCTGTTGACCTGCGTGCTGGTGACAAAGCCCTCGACGAGGCCCCATCCGCACGCTGGAGATGGGTCCTGCTTGTTGCCCCTAAACTATCAGGCCTCTAGCTGGTACCAGCTGCTCGTGGCCTGCAAGGAGGAGGATTCGCCATCAGGTCTCGATGGAGGTTACAGTGTGACGCCCAGTGTGACTGTTGCTGGTTTATCCTCCTTTTGCTCGGGTTCTTCTTCCCGTCACGTGTTTTCATGCTGCTTTTGTAATTTTCAGTCGCCTGGTTGCTGTTATTTTGGCTGATGTTTGTCGAAAGCAAACTCTCTGTTGTTACTTTCCTCTTACCACTGCCAGTTTTGGGCGAGTGTCGTATCAGGTCAGGCATTTTCTGCACACACGGCGTACGGTCACGTTTCCGTTGTGTCACCTGTTGTTATCGAGGCCCTGATACCAACGGGAGGCCGTGCTGACTCCTGCACACACATACTTCAGGCCAGCTCTAACTGACCTCTTGTGAGTGTTTGGATAGATGGAACATGACTTCTTTATGTGCAGGATTTATAGTTGGTTTGTTCTCCATCCATTTATCTCACGCATTCTCAGGTATTCCCTTTGTAGGAGTGAAAGCACTCAAAGCTCTAGCCAGCTAGGTTCTCTCTCTAGTGGTAGCTACCAAAAACCATGAGAGGAGCGGCTGAAAACTGACAGTTCTTCTTTACAAACTGGTTTGTGATGGGTCTGCACGTGACAACACTGCTCAATTTTGAACTGAGCTTCGGTGCAGCCCCATACTTCCAGGGGACATTCGCAGGCCGGCAGGAGGTATCTCTGCAGAACCTCCTGGGGAGTGCAGCTGGCAGGAGTTGGGCAGCAGCTGCCCGTATCCCCCTTCTCGCCGTGGAGTGATGCAGAGGCGGCCACCCGCAGCCACCTGAGCTCCGCACCCACACAGCAGACCTCGGGGAGGAGGGACACGTGGTTTCCCTGGCCGGCCATGAGGTGGTCCCTCTTCAACATGGCATAGGGAAGAATCTGACCCAGCTCTCGCTCAATCTCCAACCAATATACTGCAAACATTTTCATTCTTTCTTCAGTGGATGGAAACTGGGGGCAGTGGCAAACATGGAGCCAGTGCTCTGCCTCTTGTGGAGGAGGAGAGCAGACCCGAATACGCCTGTGCAGCAGTCCAGCCCCGTTAAATCGTGGACGTCCTTGTCCTGGAGACTCCTCCCAGATCTCCAGGTGCAATACCCAAGCATGTCCTGGTGAGTTGATTTGCAGCCTGCGTGCAGTGGCGATATGGTGGAAGCCTACAACGCTCCTTATTTGATGGATACTCCCTCAAGACTTGGCCAGTTGACCAAGTAATTTAATACTTTTTGGCTCAAATCTCCTCTGCAACTTCAGCTGGATACATTTTTTTGTTAGCCTGTTCCGTCGCACTGGAATAAGCTGTTGAACAGGTGTTGCTTTTCAGGCAGGGGTGAGCGCATAGGGTAGTTTCCATGTTCTTGTGCGTGTGTCTCAGACCACCTGTGTACAACATCCTGTTACGTGCAGGCTGTGAGCTTTATTCTTGCAAATACCATAGTAAGGTATGCAGAAATATCCTTACTGCTTAAAATGCTGGGCAATATTTCTGAATTTTCTCTCCCCGAAAATACCGGATGACAGAGTTTTCACGTGGGCCTTGTTTATTTCCCTTCTTCCCTTTCTTCCCCTGCACAGGTGGACCTTCACGTGCCAAAGGCAGCATTATTGGAAACATTAATGATCTGGAATTTGGAATTGCTTTCTTGAATGCCACAGTAACAGACAGCCCTGACTCTGAAACCAGAGTAATCCAAGCAAAGATTACAAATGTCCCTCGGAGCCTCGGTAGGCTTTTCATTACTTGTTAGACCCTTTTTCCTTGAGCCAGGCAGAATCCTCCACAGTGTCAGTTTTTACCGTTTCATTAGCTGGTACTGAAGAACTGATCTAAAATTTTCATAGAGGAAAAGGGAATCTTCAATCTTTACTTCTAGCACATCAATATTTGTAAAATGATTCCTCTCCATAGGCCAATATTTTTTTTTTTTTTTTTTTTTGTTTAAATCCTAAGGGTTACATCAGTTTTAGGTCTTCATATTCAGCTCCTACTGATGTGGGTCGCATGATGTTGGGGAAAAAAGCTCTCTAACGCTACGTCGCGTGTCTTTCAGGTCCAGCGCTGAGAAAGCTTGTTTCTGTACTCAGCCCAGTTTACTGGACAGCTGCAAAAGAAATTGGAGAAGCCATGAATGGGTTTACGCTCACTGATGCGGTCTTCAAGAGAGAAACTCAAGTGGAGTTTGCAACTGGTTAGTTACCTGTGAAATACCACGTCTTTGTTTGAAACAAGCTTGGCAAACACCGCGTTTCTTAAAAAATAGCACATAAGTGTTGCCGAGTTTTGAGTCTTGTGCTTACACCAGTATTTGCTCAGTGTCTGTGGCTTTCTGAGGCTTAAATACAGCTTTTAGAGCTGTAATTTGAAACATGTAATGTATTTGTTATGGGCATGGTATGCCTTTATGAAAGGAGGAGTATGAAGTGGTCAAGGGGTCCCAATTCCGATACAGTGTGGCTCCCATGAGTCTCTGGTTAGGATGTGTATGAATTGATGTGCCCCTAAAATCCATAGGTGAGATCCTGCGAATGACCCATGTTGCCCGGGGCTTGGATTCCGAGGGAGCCTTGCTGCTGGATGTTGTTGTGAGCGGACACATGCTGCAGCTCCAGTCGGTGGCAGATGTTCACGTGAAGGTAAAGCTCTCGATACCACCCCCTTCTCTCACCCCTACTCCTTCCTCTCTCCTCCGTAGTAGCGCAGAAAGTTCTGAAAACTGCTGTACTCCACGTAACTTCGTTTGTGCCTGGTTTGTTGACAGATGTTATTGGTGCCTGTGGGAAGAAAAAGTTGGCATCAGGAAGGCAGTGTTGGTCACTCAAGGTTTTTAGATGTTAGAAGTGCTGAGAAGTGTTGCAAGCTCGCCATCACAGGCAGGCGTGTCAGGTTGCTTTCAGCAGAGCTGTAGAGGTGCCTCTTAACCCTGTCGGACCTTTTGGCTTCCCTGAGGATGACACCAGCTCCGTTACACCACGGCACCTTGCAAAAATTTCTGAACATTACTGATGATTTGTTTGCAGCTACAGTTACAGGTAGTCTGACAGAGAAACATTCCTGTGGCTGATAAAGTTGGAAGGACAGGGGATTAACAGGTTCTGCTTCAGTTCACATCACAGGGTGTTCTGTGGGTTCTTACCATGCACGCTGTCGTGGTGTGCTCCTCTCCCTGCCACAGCACCAAAACTTTGTCTTGGGGTGATGAATCTGTTCTGGCAAACAGCCCTGCCGGGCGATTCATCTGGAATATTGTACAGAGTTTGCTTTTTCAGAGAATGACACTTCTCTCTGCCCTTTTTCAGGAATGATTAGAGAGGGCAGTTGGCGTGATCGTATGGCAAAAAGTTATAATCTCACTACCAAATTGCTCTGCCTGTTGTTTCCAGGAGATGTTCCCTTCTGCTTCCAGTAAGATAGCTCTGTCACTGGCCTTGTACTCCTGATAGAAAGCTGGAGTTCCAAAGAACTGTTGTTACATCTTTCCGGTTTAGCGTAAAACATGAAAAACATTTTGCTTAATATAGTATGTGGTATTAAAGTTTTGGGTTAAAACCAGGTGCTTGATAATTGGTTTTGCTCAAAGAGAAAGAACATTCTGTATAGCAGCCACAGTAAAGAGATTTAACCCTTTCCTGAACCCAGCACATTGGTAATTAGTTAGTGGTAGGCAACCAGTGAAAAGAACTTAATGCACTAATCCCAGCGTACAGTAAATACACATGAAGCTGTTGATATCTGATACACTGCAGTATGTAGCATGTCTAGTATTTATACCTTTTTTCACTGGCAGAATTTTTCTCTACTGATTGTTGATTTAGCACATGCTGTCAGCATCTGAAGACAAAGAAATATTTAGGCTTCAAACGATTGTTATTGAACAATAAGATAATTTTCAGGGTTTTTTTTGGAAATGCTCTGCTGTGGCCACCATCATCAGGATCCTCAACACCACAGCCTGTTTCTTTTTTAAACAAATATACCAGGGGCTGTTAAGATTCAACAGTTGAAACAAGAGTAAAATGGCATGTGTTGTGTGAAATACAGTTTGTTCCGCTGTAAGGAAAAACACCCTTTCCCAGAATACGTCGCATACCGCTTTAAAATAGGAAGACCGTAGCGGTGTTGGCTGTGCATGGTGGCTGATGCCCGAACCTTGCTGTTTCAGGATTACACAGAAGACTATATTCAAACCGGCCCTGGGCAACTGTACGCTCATTCCACTCGTCTCTTCGCTATAGATGGAGTTAGTGTTCCCTATACGTGGAACCACACCATCACCTATGATTACACTAAAGGAAAAATGCCTTTCTTGGTGGAGACACTCCATGCTTCCTCTATTACAACAGAGTACAACCCACTGGAAGAAACTGTGGCCTTTAAAATCCACGCTTCCATTGCAAAAGGTATTGTTTTAATCCATCACAAAAATGAAATAATGGAAAACCAATATCGTCTCTTCCCGAAATGTATGACCTACATTCTCAAAAACTGGTTATGGCCTTGAAAGAGAAAACGCTGTGAAACTTTGGGTAACTTAGATCCTGCAACCCACATGACTAGTTAATAGAGATGCTCCAATGTGTAAAACTGTTGTAGTTTGCACTTACTCTTCACCTGTAGTTCTCATGGATGACGTACGTCTGCAGGTGCTGAGGCTGCTAAAAGCACCACCAGTAGCTTCAGGTAGTCAGCCTCATGTTCTCAGTTTCCTCACGTGTCTTTCATTCTCTAAAACAAAATTGCTGTCAGGTTTGGTGGGGGGTCAAGTGTTGGTGGGGTTTTTGGGTTTGTTGGCTTTTTCGTAGCTAGTAAGAGAAAGGATTGTATGTTTTCTTCGCACAGCAAAACCCACATAAATGTAGGGAAGGGAGTAATGAGGCTACGGGGGTGGAAGAACGTGCAAAAATCAGCACTAAAATAGGTAAAATGGCCTAAGTCATTCCTCAGATTGAACTTCTGTGGAATTATTTGGCATATACAGAAAATGTGATGCTGAGCTGCAGCTTGAAAATTTTACTGGTTGTGTAAACAGGTTTTCCTTTGAGACAGCATTATTGCTTAGCAGAAGGTCCTGCTATCTTTTTAAAATACTATTTGGGCTTGGTTTTACACAGTATAGCTTAACATCATCTTTAAGTGAATGAGCAGCGGGAGTGCCTATCGCAGTTTCTTTTCACTAACAAATTCTAAATGAAGTAAAATAATGATTTTCCTACTTTCCAGACTCTGAACTAGTGTGCAATTTGAAAACCAAATAAGGTCTTTTTTATTCCCATTTTGAAAAGATGTCTGATAACAGGAGGTCTCCAGGTCAAGTTATGCCTATGCATAAATCTGACCAAGCCTTTACTAAACTTCCATTTATTTCCTCCAACAATTACTATACTGTGTTTTAAAAAAAAATTGTATTTATTGAGTCCATTTTCAAGCAGCAAAATGTGGTCTTTGAACAGTCTCTACCAGTTTTCCATGACAGTTCATTGTATGCATTTGTGGCATTCTACAGTGACTTCCCACCATCCATGACACGGTGATTTCTTTAATTTGGGTTTATTTCCCTCCTTTTACATGAATTGAAACTGAATGGTCTCTGTCCTTTTAATAATGAAAACTTCATGGAGGAACTTTGCAGGATGTATCGGGCTGGGATGCAACTTGCAGTCTCTCCGAGGGAAACCCCGCGTCTGTTTGGTGTTTTTCAAAACAGCAAGACCCAAGTACTGCTGACTTGTAGTGCTCAAGTAGGAAAAAATACTATAGTCTGGATATTAAATCTTTTATAAGTAGCTGGGGTGCAATTCTTTAATGTTAAAGGGTTTTTAAAAAGTAAGGAAATGGTCATATTTTCATCCACGAGTAACATGCGCTTCCTTTACCGTACAGGAGATCGTAGCAATCAATGCCCTACGGGGTTTGGTTTGGACTCAAGTGGGCCTTACTGTTCAGGTAATGATGTGACAAGTGTCGTGTGTAAACACTGAACCACAGCATGGTTTGGGTTGGAAGGGACCTTAAAGACCATCTAGTTCCAACCCCCCTGCCATGGGCAGGGACACCTTCCACTAGACCAGGTTGCTCAAAGCCTCATCCAGCCTGGCCTTGAACACTTCCAGGGATGGGGCATCCACAGCTTCTCTGGGCAACCTGTCCCAGTGCCTCCCCACCCTCTCCATTAATAACTTCTTTCTGATATCTGATCTAAATCTGCCTTTATTTCTGTTTAAAGCCATTACCCCCATCCTGGCCCTTTGGCCCTGGTAAAAAAATCTCTCAATCTTTCTTACAAGCCCTCTTCATATACTGAAAGGCTGCAATAAGGTCTCCTTGGAGCCTTCTCTTCTCAGGGCTGACACCCCCAACTCTCTCAGCCTTTCTCCACCACAGAGGTGTTCTGCCCCTCTGACCATTTCTGTGGCCTCCTCTGGACCTGCTCTAGAAGGCCCATGTCTCTCTTGTGCCAGAGGCCCCAGAGCTGGATTCAGCATCCAGAATCTCCACCCTTAGTTTCATGCAGGACATTCTTTAGAAGTGTAAGTCACCAATGATAAAAGAGTGTGGATCCAAAGGCAGATGAAGGCTTTACTTCTGTACTCACCTAGAGCGTGAGTAGTGCCCGCACAGCTTTTCATTAGTACCTCAGAGGCCATCAGGGGGTGCTGAGCCACCGGATCTGCTGAGCCTGCAAAGCAGGTCACTTGCTTGATCTGTGTGAAGGGAAGGAGAAGTATCAGCAACCTAGACAACAGCCCACTGAACCGAGACTGTTCCTGCTTGAGGGATGGAGGTGAAGCAGAGGTTATGAGCCTTTTTGGTGTCTCCTCCAGATGACCGAGTCACGTTTAGGTTGAGGGATCAATCAGTTTATATACTTCTGCGGATTTATTTCATTGCCTCTTGAAAGTTTATAAATTAAACAAGATATACTACACCAGCAAAAAAGTTTAAAAGCAGGAAAGCTAAAAATAAGGTTGTTAAAGAATTTTCCACTTGCTGCATTGTCTGTAAAACAATGAGTTGTAAAGCCTTAATATGGAAAATGTAATAATCTTTGAAAGTGCATCTAGGAAGTCTGACACTGAAACCTATCTGTTCTTTCGTAAAGAGATTCTCTGGAAAAGATGGTATCGAATATTCCTTACCACAGTAGTGACCCAGTTCTGCCCGGCTGATGCAAGCAGGATTCCAGTGAGCCGTGTTAGTGTCGGCGTGGTAGTCATAAAAACAGGAGTAGAGGAAGCACTGCCGAACCGTTTCTGTGAAGCTGTTCCATTGCTACATCTAGTTTGGCGCTGGGGGCTCCACCAGACATAGACCTCTTATGAAGGGCTGGTTTGGTGTAGTTTCTTATAAAGTCTGACCGGCTTTTCAAACGTTTCCTTCTTCTAGATGATGACGAGTGTGCTGCGCGAAATCCTTGTTCCCATACCTGTCATAACTCCATGGGGTCTTACTACTGCTCCTGTCCAAAAGGCCTCACTATCTCTGTGGATGGTAGAACGTGCCAGGGTAAGATCCGCGTTGGTGTGAACAGGATGGATGCAAAAAGTCCCACAGCACCTTAATCCTGGGGAAACGTTCTGTTTGGGCTGGGCCGTTTCGTCATGATAAGAATACAGTTTATTGGTGGTACTCCACTTACATCTGAATGTAACTTGCAGTCAAGTATTGAACGGTTGAGACAGTACTTCAGCTGTGTTTCATTTGGACAGACGTTTACAGCTTGTTTTCAATTGCAGATGTCGATGAGTGTGCGTTAGGTGGACACACTTGCGATGCTGGCCAGGACTGTGAAAACCTCATTGGCTCCTACCGCTGCGTGGTCAGGTGTGGGAACGGCTTTAGGAGAACAGCTGACGGATTTAGCTGCCAAGGTATGGAGAGTTCTTTGGGTTTAGCTTGCATAAGCTGAAAGTGCTGTCTTTCACACAACGGAAAGTAACAATGCAATTCCAACTAAGGTGTCTGCAAATTTTCATTATTAAGGTTGTGGGTTTTTTGGGGTTGTTTTTTGTTTTGTTTTGATTTTTATTACTTGGTTTGTTTTGGATTTTTTTAAACATTATGCTGTTTCCATCTTTAGAAATCAATCAAATTTAAAATCCTACCAGGGAATAACCTAACATTCTTGCTTTTGTGTCCCATGTGCGTTGTCCTTTACAAAGAAGTGAGAGAAGTAAGCACTTCTGAACATACTTCAATAGCACAGTACCTAGAGCTGAAAGCAGAGTCCAGAGCATTGACTCAACCTAAACACTTCTCAGGTAAACGACGAGGGGGCAGATCACAGCTATGATCTCAAGGATTTCTGTTGTTCAACAGATGTTAATGAGTGTCAAGAGTCCAACTACTGTCATCAGCGTTGCTTCAATACTATAGGAAGTTTCCACTGTGGTTGTGATCCAGGATACCAGCTAAAGGGCAGAAAATGCATGGGTATGGATGAATTTCTGAATGCTCATTCCCTCTTTCTGACGGACATAGTTCAGTGTTTACTTGTTATCAGAAGCCTTTATGAACTGAAATCCTGCTGTGGGTGATACACGTCGCATGTTTCTGAATTGGTTTGTAAAGCTGTATTAAAATCCAGAGGAAGTGGGATTTGGGCTGACTGATAAATGGGCATGAAATGCATTCTAGTGCAGGTGCACAGTGTAAGTACGGGTGGAATAGTCTGCTCCTTAGGAACTGAGCACAAGGAAGGGAGTTAATTTCCATTCTTGTTTTTTCTTTTCTTTTTTTCCCCCCTAAACAAGATGTAAATGAGTGCAGGCAGAATGTGTGCAGGCCTGATCAACTGTGCAAAAACACCCGCGGTGGCTACAAGTGCATCGATCTGTGTCCCAGTGGAATGACCAAGGCAGAGAATGGAACCTGTGTTGGTAAGAAGACGTGTTCCTGTAGTGTATGAAGGCGGTGAGCACAGAAGGTGGTGAGCACAGCAAGAGCGATGCATGCAGAAACCACAGTCTTGGAGACAGTCCGTCCCTGGTTACTAGGATTTGCACATAGTCAGGCAGCTGCTTTCCTTCACTTTTGCGAACACGCATATCTAACTTCTTTGTAATTGGTGCTAAAAGAACAGATTTACCCTTGCCACTTCCGGTATTCCATTGCTTTTAAAAACAGCAAGGTTTTCCTCAGCAACTCTTCTGCACTGTCCCCTTGAATTCTAGTTGTTCATTGACTGACGTGTTTTGCCCCACGTGTGAATGCTTTCCGAAGAGTTTGCCGCCAGAGCTCTGAACTGAGATCACAGGTCCTTGCTGCGTATCAGAAATGCTTTTAAACAGAACTCCTGTCCCATAGATGACCAGATCTAATTTTACTGTCTTACGGCATATGGCAGGAAGATGGATTATGTGTCTGCAGAGAGTAGCTGATCAAATTGGAAACACACAGTGAAAAGTTTGGAAAACTAATGGGAAAAGGGCGTGTAAATGCAATACAATTGAAAAATATATCTTACGTATCTGCTGAAAATCTGCTTTCGCTTGCGAAACAGGGACTGTTACAGGGTAGTGCCTGGTCATGGCGTCGGGTAAGAACCGTGCGCATCAGACGGCAGGTCCGTCGAGAGGGTCTGATTCACTTGTGGGTTAACTGCGTTCCTTACACATTAAGAAGCTTAAAGCTGCGAGCAGTTTCAAGGAGAATCTGACTACTTGCTCTTGCCTTGTTGCTTGCAGACATTGATGAATGCCGGGATGGAACCCACCAGTGCCGCTATAACCAGGTCTGTGAGAACACACGGGGAAGTTACCGTTGTGTGTGTCCCAGAGGATATCGGTCCCAGGGAGTTGGAAGACCTTGCGTGGGTAAGCTGTCCAGTCACGTCAGGATCTCATACGTTCTGCTTTTGGCTGGGCTTTCTGCTGTAACATGCACTGAACAATGCTATCCCATTTGAAGGCTACACTGTGTAGACAAAAAGTTCAAAATCACCCATTTAAAAAAATAGAATAAAATAGAATGGTTTGGGTTGGAAGGGACCTTAAAGATCATCTAGTTCCAACCCCCCTGCCATGAGCAGGGACACCTTCCACTAGACCAGGTTGCTCCAAGCCTCATCCAGCCTGGCCTTGGACACTTCCAGGGATGGGGCATCCACAAATGTGCCATTCAAAACTAATAGGCAAAACTAAATGATCCCAGACTGAGATTGTGATAGCTCCATACATTGAAAACAAAGCGTATGAGGGTCTCAGGGTACTGGTGGATGGATGTGGCAAGTTGCCACTCCGTAAGAGGCTCCCTTTATGCAGGTGAGGCGAGACGTGTCAGTTGGTTAGACAGCGGAAGGTGCCTGGCTCTACCCTGGACGACATTGATTCACACCCGAAGGCAGGGAGCAGTGTGGGTTCCCCTGAAGGAGAACACCCAAAGGAAGTGTGTTGCAAGAGGTGTGATACACCCAGAATTCGCCATCCTGTTCTGGTTTGGGTGGATCTCAGCAGGGAGGGAGGATTCCTGTCAGTCACAGGAATGCTAACCGTGTAGCTACTCCCCTGTGCTATCTACACAGAACCTCTTGGCATTAGAGGGTGCAGAGCTGGCTCCCACACACAGCACGTAGCGTCTGAAGGATGCTCCCATAGCTCTTACGTGAACAGCCCGGTAGCGTCTGAAGGATGCTCCCATAGCAGCTCTGACGTGAACAGCCCGAGAGTCTAACGTGTGGTGACAGCGCAAGAGTGGAAAGCACTTCCCCTGGCATTTGACAGACCAGGATGGCACTAGGGTCATTTAGATGTATCGTTTCTATATTTACATTTAAAATATCATAGCTGGCCCACCCTGATAACGATGATTTATGAAAGTTGGTATGTGACACTAAGTGAGGCCGGTTTCAATTGCTCTCATGTGTCATATCAGAGGAGCATTCCTCCATGATGACTTTGTCAAAATTAGCTTTCCTAAGTGATAAATAGCTGCTTTGAAGAACTGGATTTTTCTTTTCTTTTTAAACAACCTGGGACTTTGGATTACCGAAAGCCAGGCATTTAATTTTTTTTTAAAGGAGAGATTAAATTGCAGTGAGAAACTGGCTGTAGACCGAGGCGTTACTTCCACCAGCTGCCTCTACTGAAATGAAATCAATCCCAGAGTCCTTAACGTATATTAAAACCATTTAAATTTCTGACAGAAATAAGGTAGATAAAGTCTAGGACTGTGGATTTTCACGAAACATGAGCAGCTGCCCTAAAGCTGTCTGCTGACCAAGGAGCACTGAAAGCTCCTGCTTACAGTATGACCTTTATGCACCTCTGAATTTTTATCTGCTTTAAAATGTATTTAAAATATAGATGCATCAAAGGTAGTATTTCACGCACGTTAATAAAATCCAGATATTTGTTAACGTTTCCAGCGAACACAGGGAAAAGTTGAAAAAGTAAGCAGGACCCCAGACTGAAACAGAAGAGCAGAACTTTGCTCTTGCTTGTGCTACTTTTACCCTGGCTGAGTCCTTTGTCCCACAGTTCCCTGAGTGTTGGATGGGGGTGAGAGCTCGTTTGTCGCCACAGCGCGCACAGACATAGGCGTGCCCCTTGAACTGCATTCTGATATTCCTGTGACCTGCGGTGGATCTCAGCATGCCATCTCGCAGAGGGAAGGGCGTTACCAAAAGCCATTATAAAGCATTTTTGCATGTAAACACGAGCAAGGCTATCTAGAATTTAAAATCAAATATTCTTCAAATTAAAGAAAGCCTGAGAACGTAGCTATTTTTGTCTCAAAGTCGTTTCACATTGTTCCTGTAAACACCTCAGTTTGCAGTGCATAATCAAAGGGACACGTCCAGCGGCGGCAGGCTTGCCAGCGAGTCTGCGACCGCCGTGCGCAGGATGGCTGCGGTATAAATGCAAGTCACTTCCCGCGTTCAGTTTTGCTTGTGTTGCACAGGCTGCTCCTCCAAAAGAAACTGCTCAAACTTTCATGTGTTTCCTTTCATTATTTCTGTGACAGTCTCCTCTTGCTTATCCACAACTCGTTCCAGGGACACCAGTTGTTGTGTCTATTCTGTGCAGGTAACGAATGTTAAACTCAGCAATTAGAAAATGGTTGAGCACTAAGGAAATCACAAGTTTCGGTATTCTTTTACATGAAAAATATATTGCTCGTATACATCTGATGCACATAGTGAAGGAAGATAAAATTCATACCAGTTGTTGCCACGTTAAAAATTAAGTTCTTTTGTTTATAGAACCCAGCAATATTACCATAATGGTATTTCAACTAATATATTAGTTTCAGTTATGTCTTTGTGAAATAACAGTTGGAAAATACTGCAATGATCTGCAGTAATTACCCCTCGATTTGCAACTCTCAAAACATTTAATTAATAATACCCCAAAAAATTCCTTAAAACTTTAAAATATATAAGGTATTAACCACTTAATCAAAATGCAATCCAATATTCTACTACATTTCTGCATGGTAGTACGTTGTCAATAGCACTGTCATGCATCTGTGGCTTGGTGGGTTGCAAACTGTGCTGAAAATGCTGCGCTCACAGGGAACCAAAAAAAAAGGGTAATAAAGCTAGCTTAGTGGCATTTTTACGATGATGACTTAGAGAACACACACTTCCCGCTGACATGAAATAATTAAACCTTTATTGAGTTACCATTAAGATCATATTTAAATTCTGATTAAAAAAGGTTTATAATGTCTGTCAATTATATATACGTTGTTATGTATCTTAATATCAGGTTGTTTATTAATGGTCATTGCAGAGTTGCATATTCCTGTTTGCAATTAGCAATTTTTTGCCTTTTTCTAGTAAAAAGTGAATGTAAGCAAAGGAATGCCATCTATGTCAAATTTTCAACTGGGCCTGAAGCAACTCTGTGAGCATTTCAGAAAATCTCTTTCTGGTAATGTCAGAGAGAGTGGGGAAAGGCCTGGTCCTGCAGTACCCAAGGTACTTGTGTACTTTGAGTGGTGGGACCGTCATCATATTGTAGCCTTAAACTCTTTACCAGACCCTCTGCTCACCACTCTGGTTTGATTTAAAGGATGGATATTTACTGCTAGGGTTGGTCAAATTACTTTGAATTACAATTTAAAGGGAAACTGAACTTTAAAAGAGCATTCCTTAGGAAAAAAAACCGAATTCTATTTTTTAATTATACAAAGGTAAATTAATGTTTACTGTTCAGTCTCCAACCTTTCGTAGCCGCAGTGACCAGTAACAACGTCCAAGCAAGGCCATACCTGCCCTCCTTCCCCCGCAGCCCTCGAGACCGGATTTTTCCCGTGATGTAGAGCACAGTAACCGTATCGCAGCTTTTCGAGCTTCCCTCCATGCCAGCTGGAATGAATTCCTAATGCCGTTCTCAAGAATGTTCCCTTGTATCCTCCTTTAAAGAAGGGTCTGACAGCTTCTCCCACTCATCTGTGGAGCACTTAAAAAAAAAAAAAAAATAATTGCTAAGTAGTGAGCAGTTTAGACCGAAATGATGTGGGTCCGAAGGGCCACTTACTTCTCAGAGTGCATCCTTCCTGGTAACCAGCGGCACCCACGGTCATGGCTTTCAGCCTGTCACGCAGCCCTGCTCCTGTGAAAGCAGGGGCCAGGCTTGGATCCCTGGTTAAGACCCCCACCTTCCCTTCAGTAACGTCAAGGCACGAGTTCTTTCTGTCCAAGTAGCCTGACAGGATGAATAAAGGTGTGTTACTGTACAGCGTAGAACAGCCTGCCCACTTACTGTGTTCTCCGTATTTTACTGCCTTCGAGACCTCACTTTTATGTCTTCAGTGTTTTCCACAGGCTGAGGTAAGTATATATCTACGTTTATACACATATAGTTATGTGTTGTTTGTTTGTTTTTTTCTCCTTTCCACATGGATGGTTGCTCTGGATCATGTCACATGAGCAGACATTAATGAATGTGAACAAGTGCCTAAGCCCTGTGCAGTTCAGTGCACCAACACCCCCGGCAGCTTCAAGTGTGTCTGTCCACCTGGACAACATTTATTAGGTGACGGGAAATCTTGCGCTGGATTGGAGAGATTGCCAAATTATGGTGCCTATTACAATAGCTATAACTATGCTCAATTCTCCCCTCTGAGAGACAACTATCAACCTCAACAGTATTACAGGCACTACTCAAATCTCTACAGCTCCTTCTCAGAGTATAGGAACAGCAGAATACCTTTCTCCAGGACTAGAAGGAACGTTAGAGAAACTTGTCCTGAAGGCTATGAGGCAAGAAATGACAGATGTGTAGGTAAATGTCAGTCATATCTATGCAATTGTCTTGTTTTGGTCCTTATTCGTAGGCTACTGTTTCATATTTACCAGGGGTTGATGGTTTGTGTTCCTGTGTTTGTTTTCATGTCACCCTGATAAACGTTGAGTTCTGCATGCCCTTATCTCCTGAGCAGATTGTAGCAAAAATGTTTTCCAACCTCCTCCTTGTTTAAATTGTGCTTGTAATGGTGTGTTTGCCAATGATTTCCTTCTGTTATTCCCTTCTCTGCCGATTACAGTAGCTCACCTTTGTGAATGTTCTCACACTTCAGAAAACATCAGCAGACCCAGTCTAGCCCTGGGGATGGTGCCT